TTTGCATTACCGATTCTCACAAGTGTGAAGTGCTTCTGAGCCCAATATTTAAATTATGAATCATCCCAACCATCGCGCAAAACCAAAATTATATCTGCATACATTTCTTTTCTGATAAAGTACTTCGAACGAAATTTTTCATCGAGATTTTGAATATGGATACCACGTTTTTCGTAAAATAAATTCATATTTCGCTAGCAGTTGAATAAAAATTTGATTTTATCTGTATAAATTTTTATTTCGTCGGACACAATCTCTCTTCGTGAGATCTAGATATTAGATTTATCTTTTTTTGTTGATTTTTCTCTCCATTTTAGCCAGTAGAGAGCACGTGGTCACATTGCTATTTAATTTAAATTTCCTCTCCAACATCTACACCCACACCTTCAAGATCTTCACTTTTTCACTTCATTCTTGTTGATCTCTTTAAAATAAATTTACAACATAGATTAGACTATTTGTCGACATTAATGAAATAGATATAATTTAATCATGAAAATTTTTTTATGGCACATATTAATATTTAAAAAGGAAGCATTCAGTTCTAATAATTATTTCGGTTTTGTTTCTTTGTTCATGCAATGCGAATCGGCAAAAACCCAAAAGAAAGCATATATATGCAACACAAGCAGCAATTATCGTGTTTATATACACAACAAAAACAAAACGATTCACTACACTGTTCGCATAAAAATATAGGCAATATTGAAGACAGCTTTTGCTTTTGTTTTCATGCTTTGACATGATTGCGAAGTAAACGGAGAAATTCTTCTCGACTTTCTGGTGTTAACGCTAAGACTTGTTGTAAAATTCTATGCGGTGATGCAACATGAGCAAATGTTGATATATAGACATTAGTAAATAATGCCATGATTATTTGGCAATCAAATCGATCCTATTCGAGAAGAAAAAAAAGCAAGTGAATGTTTTAACAAGAAAATTTCATTTTACCACAAATCCTCCATGTCCCGGTATAGTTGCAGCAAAATCTTTAATACGAAAAGCTCGCTTAAATCCACTTGCAAAAAAGCCTCCAAACGGTCCAATACTTGAAGCAAATAATGAAAGTACTAATGAATGTAATTGAAAAGGATATAACTCAAGTGTACGCTTAAGTAATGAAAATGGTTTTGGCATTAAATAAGTTGTTTTTTGAAATAAGTGTAATGGTATACATGACATTGATAAGCCCATGATTTCTTCATCATATTCTAATGGACATATGAAAAATTGATAACTGCTTAATACTCCAGCAAATATAAAACCGAAGATTAATGTCGATACACCGCCGCCAATAAAACCTTCCCAAGTTTTCTTTGGAGATAATTTTGTTAAAGGTGTTCGACCATAGAAAAAGCCAAACATGTAGGCCATTATATCATTACATATAATTAATGATACAGGAAAAATAAACCAAATCATACCTGAATAATTTTAAGGTAGAAAAAAAGAAGGCACAATCTGGCACGAGATAACCTTTTTTCTTTAGACAAATTCATGAGTTTAATACGATAGTTGTTGAAAATTGAACAATCTCGAAAATATTCGATAGAATTCTGTTTTTACTCCGAATAAAGACTTTCTATAAGTCGAACAACAGCAGAGGATAAAGAACAAACTAGCTATTGGCTCGATATGACACGTAGGCGACGTCAATTATTTGCCAAAAAAAATGTTTTTATATTAGGTTTATAAATAGTAACCATGTAATTCCGTAGTCAACATGATGACGTCAATCATAATATTTAGCTTTTTCTAAATCAAATATTCACAAAAGGAAACTATTCTCAAGGGTTTCTCAGTGTGAGTCAATTTTGCCACGTCAAATTTACTCAAAACGTGATTCTAAAATTTGGATCTTTTCATACGGATATTCTAAGAAGATGCTCGAGTTAAATTTCACGCAGATCTACCTTCGCAAATATTCTGTATCATTTGATGACTTGATGTAACCAAAATCATTAAAGTTATGTGTGTATATCCGAATAGAGTAAATTGTTTAAGATAATAAGTTTTTTTTAAACTTAATACAAATCCGACAAAGCCACTTGTATATAGAAGAAATGCAATCATGCGATGATAGGTTACAAGCGGTTGTAGAAAATTATTTCTATTCATTAGAAATCCAAAATGATGAATTAAACTCTCGCCGTAAAGCCAATAATTTGATGTAAATAAGAAATACCATGATAATGTTCGAAACCATGGTAAATTATGCGATTTATAAACAACGTAACCAATATTAATTATTTCTTGAAAACATTTTATCTGTATAAGAAGTATAACTAATGAAACAACCAGCGGTCCCATGGATACTAATTTAGCGAAGCCAACTAGCATAATAAGTGAAAATATACCACGTATGATCCAATTACGCCAACGTGCATCAAAGCCAACTAATATCCGATCGAAATACTGCATCGAAGTTTGAACGTATGATTGTTCAGCAATAATACGTGCACCGTTGGGTTGTGATGGTAACGGTTCCATTTCATCGTCTTCGGTTGTTGGCGCAGCAGCAGTGGCGATATCAGCTTTTAATAGTCGTGTCGGTTTTGCATTCATGTCAATGTCAATGTTGCGATGATGAAGATGTGTACTGTCAGAATTTAATGTGGAAGACATTGTATTTGTCAATTTAGAATAACAATTATCACATGTGCAATGAAAGGTTCAATTGATAAGACGAAAAAACAAATTAGAAAGAATACCTTTCTAACTGTGAGCTCAACCCTCAAGATTCAGATGCAAAAAACGAACTGACGAAAAAAGACAAAACAGGCGAAACGTATCTTCAGGTGTGTAGCGAAGAAACCAATAAAATTTAATTAAATAGTAATTCGATCGACAGATGGCAATAGCAAGCGGATATTTGCTTACAGAAGAAAAAACTTTTTTTTTCAACGTTGATTGTTACTATAATACAATGAAATCCTATTGGAAACATATCTCAGTGAAAGTATTGAATTTACCTTTTTTGGCACTTAAATAGAAGTTAAACGAAATCTTCTAGACAATATTTTTCTTCAAATCATAAAAGGATTTGTCGCCTATAGAGAAAAAAACTATCGA